TTACTCCTAGAGGAACTCATAAACATTAAAGTAAATAATACTTTTTCTAATACTTGAACTGTTTAGATAGCAAAATTCCTCAAAAAAAGTCACTTTTTAACCTAAATGACAGCTCTCTCGGCCGTCATGTAAACGCTGCGTCACGCAAACGCTTAGAAATTCAAGCGTACTCTATTACAAAACCAAGAAACCTTTTGAAGCGAAAATTAGTTTACAGCTGCTCTAATACACCATGAAAGTAAAATGTCAGTAGGATGGTTAGTTTTGTACTTTGAATTTTAGTGACGTCATGTGAAAACCAAAAATAGGTTATATAGGTTCCTCTTTCCATTACGGTTCCTATTCCGGTTCCGCTTTCTGTTCCTTTTCCTTTTCCCGTTCCTATTCCGGTTTCCGGCTTTTCCAGACGCCGTCTTTACTGTGGATAAGATTATATGTTACGGCATTTTACTAAGAAACGTGTAGAGAGCAAGACTTCAAAGCTGTTTATGAAACGGTGCATCAGATTAAATTTATAGGCAAAGGTTTCGCAATTTTTTTTTGGTCGAGTGCTTATGTTACGCTACTTAGTACTACAGGATTTAAAGTACTGTATTCGTCCCGGATTCGTATGGTATCTACCTGGCCGCACCACAACCGAACAAAGTTATAAGTTTCCGGTTTGCGTTACTGTTGGTGTGCTCTTCAGCTTAGATATTCTGTCACAGGCTTGCGCGAAGCACATAGAATCTCGATTTTCTCTTTAGCAATTTCGGTTTTGGAGTATTACACAGCCCTGTAATGTTTCAGTGCATAGAGTACCATCTGACTAAGACAGAGCCGGGGATCCGATTTCAGTAGCCTTCTTTGATCAAGTAGGTCAATTTTCTGATTTTAACGTTTATTTTAGTTGCTTGAATCAGACTTTGCTCCCTAAAGCAGTAGTGCCTTTTATATATTGGAATAAAGCTCAAAAAAACGTTTTAAAAACGCTCAGTGCGAATTGTATGAATAATTTTCATTTCGAAAAAGCATGTTGCTCATACAAAGCCCTTGGGTACGCCCAAAATTTGTCTCAGTCAGGCGGGGGGTCTAAGGTGTCAAAACCTATTTGTGACCCTTCACAGTAGGAAAAGGGGGCTTAGCTCAAAGCGTTTTTATGTTTGAAATGCGTTGAAACCCGTTTGAAACTGTTTGAAACCCGTTTCAAACAGTTTCAAATAGACCTATTCGGCTAACCCAATGTTGTACCCAATTCAGATCTCCCGGGGTTAAGATTCTTTGTGTATTGTATTTGCTTTATAATGTGGCATTCACATTTAAATGATATGGAAATTTCTGAAACAAAACGTTTTATTCCCAAAGGGTTTGAATTGGGTACAACATTGAGTTAGCCGAATAGGTCTATTGTTTCAATGTCAGGTGCAACAGGCCGCGTATTGTGGACGATTTGGGACCCTGGGAGCTAACAAGCAGAAAATCAAAGATGGCGGGCGGAAGGCAGTGCAGAAGGCATAGTTGGTTTTCTCTCGTTTTTCATCTATTTTGCAAGGTTAGTAGCGATTATAGGTGGATCAAACAGTAACAACTGTAGAAGGTATCGTTTTAAGTAGTTTTAGAAATGCTTGTGGTAACGGTTTACCTTAAATTTGGTGAGATCCTGACTCTGAGAAAACTGAGAAATGCGGCAAGGATTTTGTTGCGGGTTTTGCGAACAATGAAAGCGTGTTTAGACAAATTTTCCCAAATACAAATGAAGCAAATTATTTTGAAGGATGCTGGTGGATAAGAAGCAAAAGTCGAGGAAGAAAATAGTACAGAGAATCTTTGCGTGCAATTCGCCGAGCCGGCCATGTCTTCCACACATGCTCTCTGATACTCTTTAAACGCAAGGAATTCCTTCCCGCTTAGCTTTTTGCCTTCAAAGCTTTGCTTATTTTGATGAATTCTATCATTAAATTCATTTTTGCTTGTTTTTAACCCGCTATTTCGATGAAAAACTGAAAAATAAAGTGTGTTATGAAGGTAAACAGCAGACCATGAGGTGTTGAATTTCATTATGCAAATTAGGTTTAACCTCATTAGCATAATGTAACAGCGGCAGAAAATAAACTTGTACAAAATTCCTAGTCGCTCTACATTTTCGAACGATTTTCGGGTCTGTTTTGCATAGATATCATATATCACACAAAATAGACATCTTTCCTTGCAAGATTACATTCTTTGTGAAATTTTTAAAATGATTATGCAGAAATATGCCTTGTTTATTTTTTTCCAAGCTTGCAAACGGGTAGAATCCTCCAAATCCTGCAGTATGATTGGTTCCAAGAACGGGAGTTATTTTACGATCTGGCCCGCTAACCCAGGTGGAATCATTGGCAGCTTCATTCACAAGTTTGTTTGTTATTTGTGAATGACCAAAAACCGTCATTTTCAAACCATTTTTATTTTAAAACTCGTGCTATTATTAGCATTTACTGGGGAAAAGTGAATTTTATTATTCGGACAAGAAGTCTGAAGGGAGAATCAAACAAGTCCGCCACGAAAACCGCTAAAGTAAAGCAAAACAGGTGGCTCGTGATGTTGCTTCACTAAGCTTTATAACCGCGCTATTAGTACTGCAATCTTGCTTTTATGCACCATTTATTGGACATTTCTGCTCTGTTTGTAGTTTTGTCTTCCATTTTTGCTGTTGGAATCTTAATTCTGCTTTTTTTTTTTAAATTTTATCTCACTAGTTTTCTACTTATCGGAAGAGGTTGTTCAATCTTACATAAACAGCACGAATCACTTTTCCAGCACTGAATCGGTTATCGCCGTTTTCATTTCTTTCTTCATAACTTGTTGCTCACATCGCCCTCTTTTATTCGAATTCAATTCAAAACCTTAAAATTGGTATGGGTAATTAGCACTTTTCATCCTGCTTGATTGAACTAATCTTAAAGCTATTTTTTAATTATTCAGCCGAAGAAAATGCTTGCATTATTTTTTTCTTGGGGCTTTGAATATCAAGCTCATCAATTCTTTTATCCTTGTTTGGCTCTCAGATTATGAATTGTCTAACAAGACACAGAAACTGTTTTTATTCTAAAAGAGAGCAGCAAGTGCCATAATATAAACTACCGAGCCAAAAATCATGTTGTAATATTTTGTTTTGGTTTGTAGTCAATCACGCGCTTCATCAACACAAATGTGTCCTACTTCAACACACATAGGTTGGAGATTGAAGGAAAATTTTCCTGAAACTTTTAAATCTCAGTAGGAAAAAAATAAAAATGTTATTCACTGGCCTAGGTCGGTCCATATTGGGAGAAACTGTGCCTTCGGTCTGAGTACCGCCCAAGGCCGTACTCAAGACCTTGGGCACAGTTTCTCTCAATACTGACCTCCCAGCCGGTGAATAACATATATTTATTTTTTTTGTGGAATATTGTGGGTTTCCTGAGGCGTTTTTAGAAATTTCTTATAATTTATAAGTTTAGTCTTAAGAATTGTTCTCTTAGTTAAGAATGCGAGTGGGAAAATACTATATCTGCATATTTTGATTTCTTAGTCTGGAAATGTCACTGGAAAACTTTTTGATTTTTCAGTTCCATTGTAATTTTAAGATCACAGTCATGACACGGTACCAGAAACGATTTTTACTGTGAAGTTCTAGGGCTTGATACTAAGTAAAAGTTATAGTCTGATAATAATGAAACACATTTAATTTTCCAGAAAAATGTCTGTGCGTGGCAAATTGAACATGAAGCATGCATTGTAATCCTCAGAGGCCACCTGAATGCAAACCCGAATCAAAAGCTTGCCTTAATCAGCAGAACTGGTAGGTAACATTGCAAGATACTGCTACTAGATAATGTTATCTTGAAAACCCATTTTGCTGTTGATGCCTTGATACCGAGCAGAATGCATGATACAAAATAATGTAATACCATTCTCTGTATGATAGACAGTGAATTACACCAATTTTTGTACTTATGTATATGTTGTAGTTAATATTTTATCTCAGGTAATTTTTGTTTTCCTTTTCTTTTTGGGTATGACAATCTTTGCTAATAAAGTTGAAACAAGAAGGAAAAATAAAAATTAGCTACTAGGAACCTTGCAAGAAGCATATCTATTATTCTGTACTTCCAGAAAATATCCATACCCCCCATGAAGGGCATGTTTACTTTAGACCCCCCCTACCCCCCTGGAATTTCCATGATACACTGTAACGGGTTCTTGTCATAGGCCCCAGCCCCTGGAATTTCTGTAAATTTTCAACTTGGTTGGGTACCCTCTGGAAAGTCAGCGGATAACTTCAAAAAAATACTTGACCTTGATGGGTTGACACTTGAGCCCATGGTATGGTCAGGTGATACTGGTCAGCGGAAACCCTCTTTTGACAGCTGTCAATTGATCACAACATTGATTAGTGGTGTAACGATTCATATTCCTAACAATTCAATTCAATTTCGATTATTGCCTTTCGATTTCGATTATTTAAATTCCATTATGTAATTGTTTCTTAATTCTTGTAATATAACGTGTACTGTTAACAACATGCAACCCTAAACCCTCAATTTGAGAATAGTAAGAGGGACAGGAGGATTAACAGTCGCTTGGTTCGCCGCCATGTTTGAGAACCTGACAAAGAGCGTGTCGCACATGGTTTGCCTTATTTGGAAATTCTCAAGGAGTGGTTGAAGGACAGCATTTTTACAGGCAACACAAAATGGCGCACAAACTGCTATCGTCTTTGCTCGTCAATCAAAAGTGCACATTTTAAAGAGTTCTGGATTCTGATTTTACAATATAATAACTCACTGAGGGCACCCTGGAAAAGGTGAACCAAAATTGAAACGTGGAAGCAAAGAATCGTGAATTGAACCAAACAGTCGTAGTCGCGATTAATCGAGAATTCGATTAATCATTACACCACTAACATTGATGTGCAATTAGTTTTCTCTTGGGCTCCCAAACTAGCTAGAAAGTGTGAGAGTAAACATTGGTTTCCCTGTGGTGAGGACGGATGGTCCCTCGGTCGGTTGTGCCTAAATCATACCGTCCAAAAGGACAGCCGAGGAGTATTAGAAACGAGTTTCCGATTCGGGCCGACTTCGGAAATTCTCGAAAACAACCAATATGGCGGCTCAAGCGTGGTGAAAACTGAGAGCCAAAGGAGCCGTTTTATCGCCAGAGAAGCGTGATTTACGGTATTGTTGACGAAGTTTGCGTTTATTGTGAGTTTTGAAGTCTTCTTGGTCCTGTATAGTAAGCAATCCTTTCATAAATGTCTTATTAATTTGTCTTGTCCCTTTGGCCGGTATTACCGAAGAAAATAGTACCGTATAAAGGGACATCCTAAATTATAGCAACATTTGTTGGCATGTACATTACCTCTAGCTTTCATTGTTAAACTGTGTTGTAGGACTGGATTTCTGCAGGTTTCTACAAACTTAGGATAACGCTATGGGAACCTTTTTATTCATAAACGTGGCCTTGTCCTTTTGGCCGGTATTACCAAAGAAAATAGTACCGTCCAACGGACATCCTGAGTTTTAGCAACATTTGTTAGGAGGTATATCATATCTGGGTTTTTTATTGTTAAACGGTGATTCTTTAGGTTCCCAAAAGGTCAGGGTAACTAAATAGAAGTGTTTTATTTTTTAGTAAAAAATGCCTTGTCCTTTTGGCCTGTATTATCTAAGGAAATAGCACCGCCTAGCAGGACATCCTAGACTATGTCAGCAGTTGCTTGCATGTATTACTACATGACATGCAGCTTGTTATTGTTACATTGAAGTATATACCTTGCTCTCTGAAGGCTTTTTCCTACCAGCTGGGGTCAGCTGAACAGAGATAGTTTTATTCATTCCTTGTTGTTGTAATCACCTAAGAATGTCCACCCAGGGGGACAATCTATAGGGAGTACTCAAAACTGACAGCTAGAGGTGCCGCCAGGGAAGCGTGACGGTATACTTTGCGATGTTTGAGATTCTCATGTTCTTTGAAAAATTCCTGATTGATCATATCAGCAGTCGATTATGTAAATTATATCCTTTCATTCATGTTATACAGATAGATGTATTATTATCATAAATATTATTGTTACTGTTGTTGTTATTATTATTTATTGTTGTTATAGAATAATTGTTATTTCCTGTCCTCATTATTTGCATGTTGTTTGACTGGTCAGTATCACTCACCAAAAAAAAGGTTGGTACAGTTGGCTGTACTCTATGGCTGGCACTATCAAAACAAATCAAAATTCTTTTTTTTTTTTTGTGACAACAACATTATTCTCACCCCACCCCCACCCCCTCCCCCCCACCTCTCCATACTGAAATTGTGGTTCAATTTTATCCTTGGTCTAAATTTTATTTTCTTTTGTTTCAAACTCCTTATCATACATTACCATACCCAAAGGCCTACCTACCTTGGCAGCAATCAACCTTGGTTGTTGATTCGGGAGACTCTCTATTTTTAACTTCCCCTGGGCCCCTCTCCCCAACTGTCAACAGCCCCAATAACCCCACTACCGGTCGGATAAATAAATCAAGTAAACAAGATCCTCGCGTTGCTTTGTGCTGCTCACTAGTGTTCATTAAAAAAATATTGAAAAAAGAATTGAAAAAAATATATATATTAAAAACTTTGAAGAGGAAGCTAGGCTAAATAGACAGTACATTGTAACTGTCTACCAATTTCATAACAAGAAACCGTAAAATTTCGAAAATGAGCCCCTCCATTTATAAGCCCCTTAAAATATAAGCCCCTCAAACCGGTAACGCAAAAAAACCTCCGTTAAATCGCCTCTCCAAATATAAGTCCCCTGGGGACTTGTACTTGGAAAATTGCCTCAAATATATAGTAAAACAAAGCTAAAATGGTAGATTTATTCCCAGCTATAAGGCTAACCCAATCGATTTTCAAACGCAAATTTCCCTCCGTAGATAAGCCCCTCCGAATATAAGCCCCTCCAAAAATAAGCCCCAGAACTTATTTTCGGAATTTTACGGTATGCTTTGTTCTTCGTTCATGGACGAAATTACAGAAACCCATCAGTGACAAGTTCTGTTCAATTTCTACATTACAGATGTACCACAGCTATTAAACTCAGCTGATTGTGGTGTCTTTGTCTGTATGGTAGTTTTTGCTATTTCATCACCTTTGCCATGAACATTATTTAATGGAAAGTCATTCATTATGCAATTCCATCAAAATAAATATGAACTTTTAAGTATTATCCATCAAAACAAATTTCATACATCACTACTGTTACTGATTAGTTTGCAGAGTACCTTACCAGCGGGATAATGCCCAACTATAAGCTGGTATTAAAACAGGGGCACCCAACGTCAATTTTCGGAAAATATCTGTTCGGAAGACGATTTGAGATCTAGAATTTTCGGAACTTTTGTTGTAAAATTTCTTGCTTGCCTGCCTCTCCTAGGATTTTCGAACATCTAAAAAATGGAATAATTGCCCATTTTTAACGGATTTTCACCCTAAAAATGTCACCTAGAATTTTCGGGAGCCTTTTTCCTGGCTGAAATTTTCGAAAATGTAAGTTTTGATCCCTATAATTTTCAGATCACTAGACTTTCAGCTAGGAAATCCGAACAGATGAAAAAATTTTGGGGGGATAAAAATATACGTTCAACAATGCTATGTTTAAGTGGTTTTGAACTATATTCGCGTTGGGTGCCCCTGTTAAAAGTTCAGACGCTAGACAATTTTCAAAAATAAAAAACCACTCCTGTTTGGTTATCCTTGGATTTCAAATGTTTAACCAGAAAAACGGTTTTACACTTTTCCATCTGATTACAACAACAAGGAATGAATTCAACTATCTCTGTTCAGCTATCCCCAGCTGGTAGGAAAAAGCCTTCAGAGGGCAAGGTATGTATTACAATGTAACAATAACAAGCTGCATGTCATGTAGTAATACATGCAAGCAACCGCTGACATAGTTTAGGATGTCCTGCTAGGCGGTGCTATTTCCTTAGATAATACAGGCCAAAAGGACAAGGCATTTTTTACGAAAAAAAAAAACACTCCTGTTTAGTTACCCTGGCCTTTTGGAAACCTAAAGAATGACCGTTTAGCAATAAAAAACCCAGATATGATATGCCTCCTAACAAATGTTGCTAAAACTCAGGATGTCTCAGTGGACGGTACCATTTTCTCCGGTAATACCGGCCAAAAGAACAGGGTCACTTTTATAAATAAAAATATTCCTATACAGTTATCCTAAGCTTTTTCGATCAAATCTCCAAGCAAGCGTGAGTGGATGCCGCTGTAAGCGCGTTCTTGTCTTTTATCAAATCATGGCATGACGGTAAGGTCTCTAAATAAAGGCCCTGAGCGGGTGTCTCATTTTTTGTCTAGGATTACTCTGGCGCATCGTTTCTGTAAATTGATTATGTCTTGGACGGGCGGCTTCGGTTTGCTTCATGTCTCCAAGTAACCCCCGTAGTCAATTATTAGCTGGATAAGAGAGTTGTAAAACAAACTTCTCAGCTTTCAGTCACAGAAATTTATCTGTTCTTTTCAAGAGGCCAAGTGGCTTTCCTATATTCGATACCGTTATTTAAAAACAGTTGTCTTTCTTTAAGCCAGGTAGTATCGGCTACAGAATCAAGCTGAACCTCAACTGTTCTCACATTAAGATTTCTGCCCTTCAAGCTGTTAGCCCCAAACTTATGCTGTAGACAATCGCTTGCAGGGACGAGAATCATCAGCAAACGCAAACGCAAACACAACTTACATATGAGCTTCTGGGAACGAAAACTCGAACTTACCCTATGGCTATGTGGAAGACGAGCTCAGAGCACTAGTCTAATCACCAATTAACCGACTGCTGCTTCAGCCACGAACACGGAGATACACTTTAGAAAATAGAAGTAGTTGATTATGTAACTGAAAAGGAAGCAGCGTACTTACCACGGAAACTGCGAGGTACTGTTCTCTGTGACGCAACCAGCAGTCAAATAAATGTTATGCTGCTTGTTAGCTCTAATCAATGTCAATTTCCTGTACGAGTCATAGAACCGTGAAATCTCGACATTTTGACACTTTTACCAATAGTGAGGTAATGAACCGTTCACCCGCTAGATCATTCGTTGTGTTGACATTTGCTTGAAAGAACTATCTTTGATCCTAGCGCACTTGCAAAATGTATTAAAGATAAGAAGGCAGTCTTTGCCAAATCATTGATATCGTATCAGAGGATTATAGTTTTTGTTTGATATTAGTCAAAAGTAAATCAACTGCGGTAAAGATACAGTCCAGTTCAGAACATCAGGTTAAATTTTCAAAGCTATTCCCGGCGTTGTTTAGCATTGGTCACCCAGTGAAGGCCCTTACATAATGGAGACCGCAAGAAAAGGATGGGCGGTTTTGAGTATTTTTAGAGTCGGGGGTATTCATTTTTAGTGTCTATTAAAAGCCATCTGTGCATGATTTTAAAAAAAGCCATCGTTTATGATTTTTCCAAAAAACTGTTATCATTAAATAGTTTGGAAATGAATAAACTGACGATGATTGGCGAGATTTAGCATTTTAGGCCAGACGTCACATTCCAATGTTCAGTTTAGAAAAAGACACGTCACTCATGTTCACTGAACTGGGAATGGACCCGAATGACGCCGGTGTTTTGTAGGAATAAACTTCCTTCGAGGAAACAATCATACCGCTGGACCGAAAAGTCCCAGGTACATATTTACTGAACGACTTGCCGTTTCATTGACTTATTCTAGTGTTGGCTTTAAACTAGGGGTTTTTCTTACTTATAATTCCGAATAGATTGGCATCTCTGCTGTAGCAGTCACCTGAGTTTGACTTCTGGGAGCCAGTTGCATAAATCTCAAACGCGAGACACCAGCTAATCCGTATTTCAAACTGAAGTACAAATTATTAGCTACAAATGCTCTACTTTTTTCACCACTCTTATATAATTCTATCTCGTCCCAAATGCGCATACTTCGTCAGTTTTCAAAGAACTGACAAAAGTAAATAGAAATAATTTCTATTC